ATCTATCCATCCCCCCATGCCCCGTCGATATGCCTATCTATCCATCCATCCATCCCCATACGTCTATCCATCCCCATATTCACCGTCTATCTATATATCTATCTCTCAATCCCCATGTGCACTCCCATCTATCCCGATAGGCACCCTTTATCTATCCATCCATCCCTATACGCACCCTTATCTCTCTCTCTATATGTCCATCTATCCTTGCTCATATACACACCCCTCTATCTATCCCCATCTGCATCCCGATCTATCTATCCATCCCCACACAGACTCTCTATATTTCTATTTCTCCATCCCCATACACACCCCCTATCTATCCCCATACACATCTCTTATCTATACATCCATCCCTTTACACACTGTTATGTCTGTCTATCCATCCAGCCTCATATACACAACCTTCTATCTACCCCCATACACATCTATCTAGCTAGCTCCATACACCCCTCTCATCTAATCTATCTATCTGCATACATCCCCTTTAGCTATCTATCCCCATACACCCCCTCTATCTACCTATCCACATACACCCCATCTATCTAATCTATCTATCTATCTATCTCCATACACTATACTGTATCTATCCATCCATCCACATATGTAGCCCCCATCTATGTGTCAGTCTGTCTACCTGTCCCCATCCACACCCTCTAACTATCTATCCACCCAACTTGGGAAAATAAAATCCCTCCAGGTCAATTGAAAACGTTCCCTTACTCTAGGGTGACCAAAGGGCAAGTGTGAAAAATCGGGATGGGGTGGGGGGTAATAGGGGCCTATATAAGAAAAAGCGCCCAAAATTGGGACTGTCCCCATAAAATCGGAACATCTGGTCACCCTTCCTTGCTCTGCAATCTAAATGTTGCATTCCAATTTTGACATTTTTATTAGATTGTGTTATAATTTGTAAATGTCATAAACAGAAAACATCCTTTGGAAAGGGGAAAATCAAGATGTTTCGTATTGAAATGCTATTCCCTCCCACCCCGAAAAAAAAAGACATTTAATCGCAACAGACAATGGTGGTGCTAAAGAGTCAAAACTCAGAAGTGGGGCCCCACAAAATCACAAGATTGGCTAAAAATCATGAGATTTTTTTAAATTATAAATTGTGGGTGCTTTTCATTTGGCTACATTTAGGGTCACACTTGGGTCATGTTTTCAACCGTTTCCCCACATCCATGAGAATTAAACATTTATTTTCCAAATGGAAGCCGATTTCACGTGACTCCAGGAGCTGTGGGCTTTAAGGAAAATATACATCAGTGGAGTGAGGATTGGATGCTGATCTCGGTGACCCCGGTCTGAATCCGAAGTGATCCCACTGACGCCAGTGGAGTCAGGGCTGGATTCTGATCTCAGTGACCTTGGTGTGAATCCAGAGTGACCGTGCTATCACCAATGGACTGAGGGACGGATTTTGATCTTGGTGACACCCATGTGAATCCAGAGTGACTCCGCTGGTGCAAGAGAATAAGGGCTGGATTCTGATCTCAGTGACACCAGTTTGAATCTGGAGTGACTCCATTGACGCCAATGGAGTGAAGGCTGGATTCTGATCTCAGTGACCCCGGAAGTGAATCCAGAATCACACTCCACCCCTCTTAGAACTGTGTTGGCCCCCTTCCTCCCCCCATAACCAACTGTCACTATGAGCTTGGGAGGTACCATTCTCATGGTGGGGGGGGGATGGGAAATTATCCCCAGTCTCAAGGGATTTAACTCCCTTCCCAAATTAAAAAGAGGCCTGTAATGGGAGGGATTTTTATTTTTAATTTCCTGGCAGGGAAAAAAAATATATCAAATCTGGCTTCCCCAGAAATTTTAATCTCCCCTCTCCCAAGAGTGCAATGGTTCCTTCCAAGGGGCAGAGAGGCTCCCAGCTGATGGGATGAACCATTTCACTGAAGAGGGGGAACAGGGGTAAAATGCCAAAGGTTCAAATTTGACCCGTTTAATTTTCATTTCTCCATTACTGAAAAATTAGAGCCTTTTAATATTTCTGTTCTTTTTAGTAAAAGGGGGATTTTTTAAATCAAAGTTCCAGTACTGGGGATTTGCATCAGGATACCACTATCTCCCCCACCCCTGTGAAAATGGAACATTCCAAAGTGTCAATTAGGGCAGTTGGCCAGTTCCCCTTCCCACTGACAATGGAACCTTCTAAAGCGGCAGCTAGCCAGATACCCTTCTCAGTGAGAATGGAACCTTCCAAAGTGTCTGTCATGGCAGTTGGGTAGGCCCCTCCCCCTAGGTTTAGGCCACGCCCCTGACATGTGTTTGAAGGGATCAGACCCCATCCACACTCGGCTAAGTGGGGTTTATAAAACATGACGGAAAACCCCTACACACCTCAATTTAGACAAGGCCATAGGGGCCAGTTATGGGGCAACTGGCCCATAGCAGAGGTCCCACCCAATACCAAACACTACTTGGTTGCCCTGGAGCAAGGGGCGGGGCATAGGACTCCACCCCCTATGGAAAGCATCATGAGATCTCCCACGAGACACTGCAGTAGCATTTCCAAATTGAACTATTTCCATTTTCAACTGAAATATTTCCGTTTTCAGCTGAAGTTATTCAGTATTCAAATTCCACTGGAAAAATCAAACATTGTCCTCTCCCTAAAAGCCCACATTTCAACTAGCTCCAATTCCTACATTTTCAACAAAAGCTTTTCTCCCATTGGTGTGTTAGGCCTTTGACTCATATAGGGCTTTATACTTCAAAATTCACCAGTTTTAAGGAGTCTAAATAAAAACCACTCGGTTCTTCCTTTATATTAAAGGTTCCATTTATTAATAAACAATCAGATCTCTGTTTAGATCAATAGCTCATTGATTGTTATACCGTCCTGATAGGCCAATAACTGTGGCTTATAACCATCTATAGTATGTGCTGCTCATGTCAGTAACATCCTTATAACATGCACAGATCATTCATTAGCCTTTTGTAATATCAACCATGACCCTAATTTCGCATCTTAGTTAAGTTTCTCTTTACAGTATCTAGAAACCAACTATTTCTTATAGTATTGGTGAGGCTATAAGATCCAGTCCTCCAGCCAACCATAGAGTCAAAGAGGAGAAGAGTGGCTAGACATGACCTGAAGACGGATCACCATGGAGTTGTGGTATGACCTATGGAAGAACCCACCAATGGCATCTTGGTCTGTTCAAAGGGATTTCTTTCCTCTGAAGCCGATGAAGGAAGCTCTCACAGTCAATAAGCACATTAATATGGCACAATTGTAGAATGACCCTGTTTTGGGTCATCAGCGGGGTTCGAACATTGGGTCTTCCAGTGATAAAAGTACGATCCATTACTTCACGAACTAAACACGTTAACTCCATCCACCAGCAGCTGTAATAGGCTTGTATCCTATTTTGTGGACCAGCCATGAGAGGGTAACAAGGACACACACAATCTCCATCTATACTGTTCAAGAAGAGATTCTCTAGAAGAAAGTCCACATTCCTCATTAACGAGGTTCGTTAGACCCGCGACTTCATTAACATAATGAGGCATCTTCGTGGATCTCATCTAGGGTGACCAGACAACAAGTGTGAAAAATCGGGACGGGGGTGGGGGGTAATAGGAGCCTATATAAGAAAAAGACCCAAAAATCGGGACTGTCCCTATAAAATCGGAACATCTGGTCACCCTAAAATTCTCATCCAACCACGTGGCAAGTTAGCCACAGGTTAGTGACGTAGCTAAGGACGGGGTGATGGTGGCAAGGTGAGATGGTTCCCATTAGGCCTCGGCAGTGCCCAACACACATCAAATGGAGCACAAGGCCCTACAGGAGGGCGTGGCTTTCCATGGCCCAGACCTTGCCCAAAGCGGGCAACTTCCTGTGAGACCCACTTTGAGGGGCAACTTCCTGTGGAAAGACCTTGTCCTCCAGGAGCAACTTCCTGTGAGCAGGACTCACCCTTATATATAAGACTCATATAGCCGGGCAATTCCCTGTCAGAGAGACTTGCCCTACAGGGGGCAACTTCCTGTGAGCAAGACCTACCTGGGGATGCAACTTCCTGTGGACAAGACCCACCCTACGGGGGCGACTTCCTTTGAGCATGATACAAGGGGGGGGTGATTTCCTGTGAGCAAGACCCACCCTACAGGGGGGCAACTTCCTGTCAGAGAGACCTGCATGGGGGTGTGACTTCCTGAAAGTGAGCCCACCTCAGGGGTGCAACTTCCTGTGGGCAAGACCCATGCTAGAGGGGGTGACTTCCTGTCAGAGATGTCCTACCCAGTGGGACAACTTCCTGTGAGTGAGACCTGCCTCGTGACACAACTTCCCATGAGTGAGGCTCACTAGATGGATCGACTTTCTATAAGCCAGACTGTGTCCTAGTGGGGCGACTTCCTGTGAGCAAGACCTGCCTAGTGGCACAGCTTCCTGTGAGCCACAGCTGTTCCCAGACCGGCCCCCCGCATCCCTCCCTAGTCCCGCCCCTTCTTGTGGGTCTTCTGGTGCTGGGTAAAGGCAGAGCTCTGGACAAAGCGCCGGCCGCACTGGCCACACTGGTAGGGCCGTTCGCCGGTGTGGATGCGCCGGTGAGCCGCCAGGTTGGAGTTCTGGCTGAATCCCCGGCCGCAGTCGGGGCAGCGGTAAGGCCGCTCGCCGGTGTGGGTGCGGCGGTGCTGGGCATAGGTGGAGCGCTGGGAGAAGCACCTCCCGCACTGGGCGCACTGGTACGGCCGCTCGCCGGTGTGAGTGCGCCGGTGGGCAGCCAGGTGAGCCCGGCGGATGAAGCTACGCCCGCAGTCCCCACACCGGAAAGGCTTTTCTCCGGTATGCGTGGTCTGGTGGGTGATGAGGTTAGAGGTCTGGCTGAAGGTTTTGCCGCACACTGGGCAGCGGTAGCGCTTTTCGCCGGTGTGGACTCGCCGGTGCTTGACCAGGTAGGAGCCGTCGTTGAAGCCTTTGCCGCACTCCTCGCACCGGAAGGGACGCTCGCCGGTGTGGATGCGCTGGTGCTGGGCCAGCTTGGCGCTCTGCCCGAAGGCTTTGCCGCACTGCCCGCAGGTGTAAGGCCGATGCCCGGCATGGCCCTGCTGGTGCTCGGCCAGCGCCGCCCGCTCCAGGAAGCCCCGCCCGCAGTCGTAGCAGCGGTAGTGGCGCTCGCCGGTGTGGGTGCGCCGGTGGGCCGCCAGGTTGGAGTTCTGGCTGAAGCCGCGCCCGCAGTCCGGGCAGACGAACGGCTTCTCGCCCGTGTGGGTGCGCCGGTGGGTGCTCAGGTTGGAGCTCTGGCTGAAGCTTTTGCCGCAGTCCGGGCAGACGAAAGGTCTCTCGCCGCGGTGGATGCGCCGGTGCTGGGCCAGCGCTGAGCTCCAGGTGAAGCCTTTGCCACACTCGGGACATTTATAAGGCTTTTCGCCCGTATGCGACACCTGGTGCTGGATGAGGTGGGAGCTCTGCCCGAAGCTTTTATCGCACACCGAGCACTTGTAAGGTTTCTCCAGGGCTGGTGCAGGGAGGCTGCCATGCTGGGCTGGCTTCCCCTGGCTCCTCACTGGAGGGTCCCCCTGCTGCTGCATGTCCACCCCTTCCCACCCTCCAGAGAACGTCCCCCGCAGATCCGCTTGGGGAACATCCTCTTCAGATCCTCCTGAGGGCATCCCCTGCAGATCCACCTGGGGAACGTCCCCTGCAGAGCCTCCTGACGTTACCCCACACAGATCGATATGGGGAACATCCCCATCGGATTCTCCAGAGAACATCTCACACAGATCCAGTTGGGGAACGTCTCTTTCAGATCCTCCAGAGACCGTCCTAAGCAGATCCGCTTGGGGAAGGGTTCCTTCGGGTCCTCCAGACAGCGCCCCACCCAGCTCTACTTGGGGGACGTTCGCCATCGATAAGAGGTGGTGCAGTTCAGCCTTCTCCAGATCTTTCTGCGCCGGATCCCATCCCAGGCTTTCACCATCACCTGCCGGGACAGAGAGAGAGAACCCAGACGGGCTTTCTGAACTGGGGCAGAGAAGGCTGGGTACCCAAAATCCCTGTCCCTGACCAGTCGTGCCCCAAAATCCAATCTGAGCACAGGGGTCTGCTCCAGAGCCCTCCCCTTATAGAAGACCGCCCCCCACATCCTCAGTTTCTTACCCATTCCCTGCTGGAACTGCGGCTCCTCTTTCAGAGCCCCGCCCAGTGGGCGTGCAGCCCCGGGGTAGGGGCTCAGAGCCAGCATCCCCTGCTGGGCTTCCCCAGTGACACTCGGCTCTTCTCCCTCCACCTTGACGCTCACCGCCTCCCAGCTCCGGGGGTCATCCATAGGCCAACGCCAACCTGAGGACAACCCAAAAGAACCTGTCAGCACCGAACCAGAGCAAAGAGGGCTCAATCTAACAGGCGCTGCGGGGCTGAGAGTCTCTGGGGCGGGAGGCAGAGCCTGGGGCAAGCCCCCTGCTACCCCAACCGTGGGCTCCACCTCCGCCCTACAGTGCAATCTCCGCTATAGTAATTTACGCTGAAGGGCGTCGTAGCGCAGCGTTTCTCAGCGGCCATCAGGGGCTGTTCTTGCAGGCATAGCCCCCGGGCGGTGACGGGGAGGGAGGGGGGAAAGCAGCAGCCCCTCCAGAAGGGATTGGGCCCTGCCCTCCTCTGGAGCCACAAACACCAGAGGAGCAGACAGCTGGTGTGAGTTCCCCGCCTTCCTAGGACAGTGGGGCTCAGGCTTCCAGCTCTCCACCCCTGGCCCCCACTGCCTCCCCC